ATTTTATCGACTGACATGAGAGACTTTAATCGTGATGCATTTGTGGCACTTATGGCACAGCACTACTTCTTCTTCTTGTTCTTTTAAAGTTGTAATCTTGAATTCTGGCAAAATAGATGTGATAGCAGCAGGTACATCCTCCTGTCCCACTTATTGTATAATACTGCAATGGGATTGGTTGATCAATGCAAAGTTGCTTTTTAAATGGTTGAGGCTTGAATGGGGCCAGACTTCACTTATTGTTTTGTTATTTGTGGTGTTGTTTTTGCCAGGTATGAAATAGTCCTTATATTCAGCAGCAAAAAAGAAGGTTTGGTTAAAATAAAAATATATGATCACTTTTTTTTCAGGAATTAAAGTGTTATTTTGTGGAAATCTGTTATTACTAGGTTCTGCATGAGAGATTGTACACAATTCCTTCATAATGTTTGTAGGATGGCACAGCAGGGAGTCAAACTCAAGGCAAATATAGTGCATAGGATTTAGGACAGATCTAAGGTACTCAGGAGGAAAGTTATTAAGAAGTCTTTATTGGTAAATGGCTAATGTGATAAAAACACCTTTCAGCTTGAAGGACTTTCGGCAGGGTAATGGCTAAATGTTTGTCTGTCTGCTTAGTGTTAGTTAAAAAGACAATCAAAGACAGCTGCTCAGTTTGTGCAGGTAAGTGGTCAAATGATCAGTATGACCTGCCAATTACAAGAGGAAGGGTAGACAGATAAAACATACATAAAAAAAACACATACACCTTTCTATATAATTAGGTAACAGAAAAGAAAGTACCAAATACCAAAAATGATGTATAGATTACTAGAATGAGAGTAGAAACTGCCATAAATTCAAAAGAACTGCTGATTTTCAAGTAACTAAAGAGAAAGATGGTAACAGATTACAGAGTCTAGTGCAGAGGATACAGAAAGTGAACACCCCACTGTCTGGGCTTTCTGGTTGTGCAGAAATATGCATGCATCATCACCAGCTCACCCGGACACTAATGCTTTTTCTGTTGAAAGAGTCTATGACTTACAGTTCCATTATAAGCTGCAGGGGGCGCCCTCAGTGTTTCACGCAGTGCAATGTCATCAGCATTGAAAACACTTGTTTTCAATGCTGATGACATTGCACTGCGTGAAGTTGCAACGCTTGTTGCAACTTCTTTTTAATTTACTGGCCTGCCAAATATGTGGACATTATCACTGTTAATCCATACAATGAATTAGTATACATATCGGACATCTGGAAACTGAAGGAGCTCTTACAGCTCTACCAAAATCTAAGTCTTTAAAGCGATTAAACTTTTACTCAAACAAAAAGATTAAACTCTGCCTCCAAGCTGTTTTGCAATGTTGAAAGAAACCCTTAGTGCATGAGATGGTGGTTAATGGGGACTGGTTCTTGAGTAGATTATGTAAGAATATCAGAGTTCAGGTTAGGGATCATTTTCTCACATAGTTCTTGTAGAAGGGTCTTAGAAGCTGTTGCACATGGCACTGAGAAAAGGAGTCCACCAGAAGAAAAGATTGTATTGGAAAGGGCTCGGCTGCAGATTTCATAAATGCCTCATATATGGAGGTCTCAGAGACTTCACCTGGAGAACAGCAGGAGGACCTTAAGACCACGTGGACACTGGTCAGTTCAAGTCATTTTTTTGTTCCTGATTGGTCAACATTGTCATCTTTTTTCTCTGTGAACTGTCAATAAAAGAAGAAACTGATTAAAATTAATTGAATAGAACACAAAGGAGAAGTAAAAAAGGTGTTCAGCCTTAATGATTCATCCTTGCGGAACATGCCCCTGAACTCCTATTAAGTTTATTAAAAAATGACAGTTGGAACTCAGTTGTAATGCCTCCCTGTAAACCACTGCATAGTAATTATGGACTTTAAGTCGAAGGGAAGTCTTATTTAAATGTTAAATCATTCTGGCTTAAACATGTATATAAATGTACTCTTTATCAGACAATATTGTCCCAAAAGTTTGAAAGTTCTATTCTTTAAAAAATTGTGTCTTAAATTTGTGGAGGTTTTTTATGGTTATTTTATGTGGGCCAGTTAGTTAAACGTCAGCTTGTACAACTAAATTCAGCCAATCATATATCAACCGTCAACTGTCAATAAATTGTTTTCGGTCATAGCATCTTGATTTATATGTTGCAGCCCATATATGCAACGGTTGAAATAAGAAATAAGAATCATTTACATTGAGTTACATTGAGTATATACATACATACACTACCGTTCAAAAGATTGGGGTCACCCAAACAATTTTGTGTTTTCCTGAAAAGTCACACTTATTCACCACCATACCTTGTGAAATGAATAGAAAACTGAGTCAAGACATTGACAAG